TACATGGAACAATTAATATCTCAAGCAGCACATAAAGTGCACATTCTTGATTAATTCAGACCTTAACCACACTTGCTATGAAGGAAAGACTCAAGGATATTTAAAGACAAAATGAAAATACGATGTATTTAATCAAAATGAGCATCAACATACATTACTTCTGCAATCTTAAAAGATAAAGATAGAGGTGCCAAAAAGGTTCTGAAGTGATGCCATTGGAGAATCGCTTTTGGTTCCCTAAAGAACATTTTAATTCACGGTTCCTGAAAGAATAAGAAGTGTCAGTGTAAATGAAAACTTTTTAAAAACCTTAAACATTATTTAAAAAGTTCTATGATCTCTTGAACCTTACGTGTATGTGAAGAACCACTTAAGCAGTGACTGTTCTCTATTAGAGTATCTGGATATCCTTTTCACATAAAGATAAAGCTACATTTTTGTCCACCGTTTCCATAGTGAATTCTATTATTATTAGGTCTGTGGTAGACACAATAACTACTAGCCTGTCATGGTTAAGGACAACATGTGCTTTCTCCATGACACATGAGGGCAATCACTGCATCTTATCAAACTGCTGCCCACACAACATCATAGCACATGTTCCACATGCTTGGCGAACAGCGCTAACAACTCTCTTCACTGTGTCCCAAAACTTTACTGCATATCACACTATACTGAATCATACTTCTACCTATACCTTATACCACAGGTCACCCATTTTATCCATAAAGGTCCAATGTGGCTGATTTTCATTGCTGAATACCTAATTCCACTTTTTTTAATTTAAGTCTCAGTTTTCAAACCACTGTTTTTTTACATGAGGCGTGCACCTGCTTGGCTGAAATGAAACTCGTTTTATTTTAATTATAACATTACTTGTCAGCATTCACACGTCCATGCCTACTGTTTTCTGTTACATACACAAATTCCTTGTATGCATAGCAGGTGAAATAAAACTAACTGTGATTCTGATTTGGAAGGCTGTATATTGTACTTCATAGAGTTTTTAATTATCGGAGATTGGAATATACTGAATATACTGAGTCTTTACTTCAGTGGGAGGTAAAGGTAGTTCAGTGCCTATGATTTATTAACACTCTGAGTGTTCCTTTAATTCCCGTGGGACACTGTCAGAGTTTACAATGTGGCTTTTTCTGTGTAGGTCTTTAGACATTGTGGGTTTGATTCCAGCTAATAGATCCTGCCATTAACCCCAACGAATAAGTCAAAATTAAAAGGACCTCTGTCCCACAGTCCCTTTAGTTAGCTACTGCACATCTCTTGGGACAGATGTGTCAACTGGAAGGAATTTGTAGGATATTCTCAGTGAACGCCTCGAAATGTACCTGTCTGATTGGTTTCCAATACTTGATAATGCCAGTATAACATGCCAGTTCTGCAGTATCTGGCGTTAATATTATAGATTGCTCTGGTGATACTCAGCAAGTGTAGTTGGCTAGAAAGTAGGCACATTATGTACCTGGATGGCCCTGCGTCAGTGTTCTGTGTCCTGAGATTGATCACTGACATTGGCTCAACAGTATTAGATGAGTTTCAAAGTTTTAATTACAAATCTTTGCATGCCGGCCGACCTCAGCCAAAATCACAAAAAAGAATTTTGAGCTGCAAAACCAATCACAACCAAGGCACCATCTTAGCCAAAGCACAAAGTGAAGTGTTAGAGATATTGGGACATTGGCTCTGATGGGTATCGGTATCAGGTTGATATCAGCCAAAAATGCTATTCTATCTTGAGTAAAGTGCTTATTTGAACAGCTTGTTTTAAAGCTTACTAGTTACTAGTTTTTCAACACTGGTATCTGTCAATACTTAAGGTTTCAATATCTGTATTGATATTTATATGCAAATACATGTATATATATTTCATATATATTTATTTATACATCATTGGTATGCATATATGAAAATACTTCATATATTAATACAAGTAAAAGTTCGAAAAACATCTAAATTGCATTCTCTAGAGCAGTAGAGGCCCCAGTATTTACAGCAGGTGATCCTTACTTGTCCCAAAGCTATCTGCTGAATCTCTATCTACAGATTCTATCCCTGTGATACTTTCTAACTGCTATATGAAGAGCTTTCCCTTAATTCTATCCTCAATTAGATGACCAAATGATCAAGCTGTGAATTCCCCTCCTTCATAGACAAGTTACATTCACACAACACTTTTTGTGTATCAAATTAAGGCTCATATTCTGTAAAGAAGGTACAGCCAAGGAGCTTTCTAAAAACACATAGAACTTACTCTGGCTAAAAGGTGCTGAAATGAAAGTGCTATTTGCTAAAAGTGGGAGAATGACCATTACTGCAAGCTCCTTTGTTTCTAAAGTTCTCTATTTCAGAACTTCACTCTCTTTTTCCTCTCAGCTGTTGAACTAACCACTGTATACTATGCCCTTGTGGTGATTTGCACTTTAGAGACTCCATTACTACTGTTGCCCAGTTTGTGCTGCCAGCCAGCACACTAATTGCCTTACAAATGTACAATGCACTTACTCTCACCCATCTGGCCCAGTGTATTCAGGACATTGTAACAATTATATCACAGAGCCATTACCTTTCATTACATCTTGGAAATTGGTTTAATTATGGCCTTTCATTTGCAATCACTGAAGTTAACATATCTGAAGATTGCTCAATACAGAAATGCATAAGTACATTTAAAATATAAGTACATAAATACACACCACATGTGGATAAAATCACAGGCTTATTACATACTAAGGTTTATTATGTAGTAACTACAGAGACTTCAGTGCAAACTGGCTGAGCTTTATTAGGTTACAGAAGTGTGTAATAAAACTTAGGGCCCATCGGCAGGCCCTGGCCATTTAAGAGGTTCAGGTTTTCAATAGTATCACAAAAATCAAATCAAGTGTTGCTGATGCTCGTACATAGTGTATGCTCATGTATAGTTAGAAACAATAAGAAACAAAAAAACATTCAAGCATAGAAATATATGAATCGCCTCTATATACTTTACAATTGAGTTTGGTATCAGCAAGAGTTAATGAACTGCTCACAGCAACAGCCAACTGAAGGACAGATTTCGCCATTAATGTACACTATATTGCCAAAAGTATTCGCTCGTCTGCCTTCACACGCATATGAACTTGAGTGACATCCCATTCTTAATCCATAGGGTTTAATATGATGTCGGCCCACCCTTTGCAGCTATAACAGCTTCAACACTTCTCGGAAGGCTTTCCACAAGGTTTAGGAGTGTGTTTATGGGAATTTTTGACCATTCTTCCAGAAGCGCATTTGTGAGGTCAGACACTGATGTTGGACGAGAAGGCCTGGCTCGCAGGCTCTGCTCTAATCCATCCCAAAGGTGTTCTGTCAGGTTGAGGTCAGGACTCTGTGCAGGCCAGTCAAGTTGTTCCACACCAAACTTGCTCATCCATGTCTTTATGGACCTTACTTTGTGCACTGGTGTGCAGTCATGTTGGAACAGGAAGGGGCCATCCCCAAACTGTTCCCACAAAGTTGGGAGTCATTTTACGTGGCCTACCAATTCGTAGCTGTCGTTCCCAATCGCTTCCACTTTGTTATAACACCACTGACAGTTGACTGTGGAATATTTAGTAGCGAGGAAATTTCACGACTGGACTTGTTGCATAGGTGGTATCCTATCACGGTACCATGCTGGAATTCACTGAGCTCCTGACATTGACCCATTCTTTCACAAATGTTTGTAGAAGCAGTCTGCATGCCTAGGTGCTTGGTTTTATACACCTGTGGCCATGGAAGTGATCGGAACACCTGAATTCAATGATGTGGATGGGTGAGTGAATAATTTTGGCAATATAGTGTATAACAAACAGTGATAGCACTTTGGAAACGGTTTAGCATTCTTTTCTGCATATGCATTCCTATACAGAAAAGAATTCTAATCAACATGTGTTCTGTTGATTGAGGATCTGAGAGATTTGCCATGCCATTCATTATATATTCAACTATCAGTGATTTATTATGACCAAGTGAAGTGTTATGAACTAATGCAGACCTCAGCAATGGAGGGTTTTTAAAAAGCAAAGGAATATTATTTGACACTGCAAAAACTCTGCACGTTCTGAGCGCCTCCTGTTCTGATGCACTAACTGTGTGCTATAAGCAAACTCCACCGAAGATCATCAGGCTGATTTACATGAACAATTCACCATCAAAACTTCCCCATGGCTGCATCAACAACTGCGACTCAATGGTGGCGGTGGTGGTCATGGCTGTAGCAGGGTTGGGTGGGCATCAAAATGCCAGTGCGATAAAAGAATTACATAAAAAAATTTGACTACAATGCAACGCTCTGTGTGCATGCAGTTGAAACATGAGCCATGGATTATTAAACTGAACAAAGGCATGCAGAAAAGAAACAACACTCATTTGCTAAGAGCAATACTAAAGCAAACTGTGGTTTCGAGCTGCATGGTGATGGGCATCACAGTGCTGAAGCTGCAACAGTTCTAAAACAATTACAATGATTGTAAACGTGTTGAAAAAAAAAGTCCAAAAGAAAAGGAACTGCCGTCATAATGCTTAAGAGTCTTTGCGTGGCTCCTTAGCCTTGAGACTTCGTCTTAAAGGCTTGAGTTATTGAGTGGGAGAAGCGTGCGTGGAGCTGTGGTGCTGCATCTCTGCACTTCTTCAGTTTAAATCGACTGTGCTATTACATTCGTTATCAGCTCAAAAAACACAATGCAATGCTCAGTCGTGGTGCATCGAGACGATTCAGGGCAAAGGATCCGGAAAGGCACGCGCCCTATCTCCTGCAAATCCAGTATTTGGATACAACAACAGTTTAAGGTTGCGACAATATTTACTGTTTTTTTTGCACGGTGATATTTGTGACTGCAGAGACAAGATTTGCACGGGTCGGTGGCAGCAGGCTGCGACTGCACGCGCTTGGCTTTGGAGACGAGAAAAAGAAAAAAAAGAAAGACAGAAAGAAAGAACGAGTGAGAGAAAGAAAACAAAAAGTTTCGTGCATGCATTTTTGAATGTAGGCGCGCGAGAGCGGCACGGCGCGCCGTGATTGGGCGAAAGCCCCGGGGCACACGACGTCTATCGCGCATTGCCATATATATAAAGCGGCGACCCGCGCGCTCCTGTCATGCACGCGAGGAGAAACTGGCAAAGAGGAGTGAAGAGGAGGAGGAGAAGGAAGAAGAAAAAGACGAAGAAGAAGAGGAGAAAGGGGTAGGAAGATCAATAGCGAGCTCGAGCTCAATAAGCAGCAGCAGCAGCACCGGCAACGACAGACATCCATCTAAATCTGCAGCGGAGTCCGGAGCGCGAGCGCCGCGTTTGCAGGAGGAGAAAGCGTCGTGTTGCTGCTGAGTAGCGCGCGAGGGAGAGAGAAAGAGAAGGAGAAAAAGAGAGAGAGAGAGATGCCGCCGAGGACAGGACTCGTGCTGCTCGTCGTGCTCGTGGTGTCGGCGCACGAGCTGGACCTGAACGAGTCGTTTTCGCCGAGGAGAGCGCGCTTCTCCGCCAACAGCCCCTGTGAGTAACACCGCTTTCAGTGCAATGTGCAAACCATCCATGCTCTGCTCCCCGCTGCATTCGCTGCAAGCGTTCGTGCACGCTCGTGAGAAAAAAATTAAACCCTAGCCTCGCGCCCAAGCATCTGCTGCACATTCCAGTATTTCCATTCATTGCATCGCCTGACTTTAGCGACGCTTTAGCAAGATGCAAGCTACGCTGCATCTGGCCGGTGTAGAGCATCTTTTAAAGGAGAATTCATCAATTTCTCAATATGTCTGCACAGTTTGATCACAGAGATGTGAACAAACCATTCAGAGTGGTCTGATGTGAAATGGTACATTGTGGAGAAACTTACCGGCTCAGATGTCTTTACAGTGGTGGTGATAGGAACCAGGGGTCGCCATGTCTACACACTTAAAAAGATGTTTTTTCAAGGGTTCTTTAGTGCAGGCAATGGTTCTATTGAGAACCACGAGTACTGTATAGGCCGTTTATCTCGTCTGTCTCTAACCGTTTGCATGCTTAAATGCTTCTTTGCATAGTGAGATGTTTCTTTAGGTTGATGGAGAATTTTGAAAAGGGCTCTATGTGGCACCAAAAAGGGTTCTGCTATTGTTACAAGCTTAACGTCGTAACGATAGAAGAACTAATTTGCTGCTATATAGATCCTTTTTCAAAAAGGTTCTGTACAGAACCACATACAACACTTTCCATCAATTTGAAGAACCATTCACCATGCAGAAAACATTTAAGCAAGAGAACTTATGGTTCTAAACAGAACCGTTGCCTTTACTAAAGAACCCTTGAATCACCCTTTTTGATATAGCCATTTTATTTACTATCTAAAACCACCAATTAACCTACGTGGCTTTTGAGTTTTTATATGTAATGTTAATGATGGTAAAATAGTAGTTTTCGGTGGACTATTTTGCCTCACAATACCCTGCATGTACCTCTCCTCCATAAAAATATTTTATCTCAAAAGTACCATAAAACAATATCTCAGGCCTCAGGCAGTGTATTTGTAATCATGTCATGTAATAACTTGCTTTGAGAGGCATTGAACTCTTCAGACGTCCGGTTCCCACCACCACCACTGTGAACAATTCTGACTCGGTAAGTTTCTCTAGAACGGAACAATTTACGCCAAACCACTCCGAATGACTGTGTTTATAGCTCAAATATTTAGTTATGAAGAAATTTTGAAAAATTGGCGGAGTTCCCCTTTAAGGGGGTTGTGGTTAGCTAGTGCACTCGAATTAGATCGTGGCTCTCCTGCGTCTCGGTGTCACGCGTGGATGCGGAGCGAAGCGAAGGCGCGATCTTTCTTGGCTTCCCTCGTCGCCGCTTTTCAAACGGAGCTAAAGCCAGCTTCTTATTAGAATCATCCTGGTCCACCTTAAATGGTGCAGCAGTTACATTCTGGCGCCTCGGGCCTGAGGCACCAGAATGTAACTGCTATGCTGTTTAAGGTGGAACGTGAAAATTCCAACAAGAAGCTGGCGAATAGGAAGCCAACTTCAGCCTCGTGCTTTGCAGGCACTTCTGAAGGACTTTCCTATTGGACGGCGCCGGTTGGTCAGTGAGCATTTGAAGCCCCCAGAATGAGCCTGCGCACGAGACTGCACGGGCTCTAAATCCGTGCAGCCCTGCAATTTTAGACAGATTTGCAGCCTGCTAGCATCTCCGTTCGTTTAGCCCACGGAAAAAGGGTTTCTGCGTGAACGGTTTGCATTGACACTTTCGCAAATGGCTCGTGCAATAGACGCCAGAAGTAGCATTTGCGTCCATAACGTACATTGCAAAATGGATGCAGAGCAGGTTTGTAACGTCAGCGTTTGCTTGGAAGGATTAGAAGACGCGTCGTGGGAGCTCGTGCAGAAAAGGGTGATTATTAGGGCACTAGGGCATTAATATGCGTTGACAGTGGGTGGAAGAAGTGCTCTAGCTGTTGGCCTGCTGTTGAGGGGATGAGCTTTCATTCATTCATTCCCGCCGTGGCTTTGGCAGGATTACATTGCATAAAATCCGTGAAAGCAGCACCTGAAAAGGATGAGCTACTGTAGTTCTAAATCCAGCTGATATCTGCAGTGTAGCTGATGTGCCACCAGTGTGGGGTCATGCAAAAGCAGAAAATGGTGCACAGCACAGCAAAGCTCAGCCCTTCATGGGTTAAAGGACCTCACAGCCAGAACAGAGAGTGTAGGTCACTGGAACAGCCACAAGCTTGCGTTCAGATATCAGCTTGACTTAGAAAAGCTGGGTTAACCACAGCGTCTCATCCTTTTATGTTAAGTTAGCTTCTCCAATGAACTCCCCCATAAAAGTTTACTGACCACTTTAACCCTTTGCACCCAGGTGTGGACCCACCACTTAATTCCCTCACTCTCTTCACTACCCAGCTGACACATTAGTTTCATAGCAGTTACTGAATATCAATAATACTTACTAAAGAGTAAGTATTAAGATTAATGGCTGAATAATTAGCCTGAATTTTAAAGGGTTAATCACCATAAGCATAATAAATTGGGAAAGTAATTAAAATGCGGCGAGGACGGTTCGTCAACGTGTTGAATGAAGTGGATCTGTGTGTGGTACGGGACATTCAGTTCTGCTCTGTTTCTGGACAGGGGACGTGCAAACCTTTGTCAGGCTCCACTTGGAATTTGCATAACTTCCTGTTGTACTTAGTTGCCAGGGAGACATGTACTGACTCAGTGCTTTAGAGACAAAGAGACAGTAGTGCTACAGTATGACCTAAAATAGAGAAAACACACTTTGGAAAATAAACATATGTAGGCCGCAGAGCGAACGGACCACGGTTCTGCGCCCAAGCGGGGAGAGGAGGGGTTCTTATTACAGTAACATGATCGTTCTGAGAAATGTATTTATGTTGAAAAAGTCTGTGAGGACCCGAAAATAAAAGTGCTTTTTATTTAGGATGAATATCAGCATTATTTTGTGAAAAATGGCTTTGCCGTTCCAGGTAGAGTTTTAAGACAGTACCAATGTGTAGTGTGAAGCAATGGAGAATGGAGTCGTTTACCACAGTTTAGCATAACTTCTGACCCACCGAGTTCAATCTGGGGTCATGAACTCTGGTTGCTGAAATCCGAACAGGTAACTATGCAACTGTAGAATATAAATTATTCACTCCCAACAATTCATCTTATTAGTTTGTGTGGGAAACAGTAATATCACCTGTCGAGTCAACCACTGTATACAGTGAATTGATAGCGCACACTGTTGTGGTTGTAATGCACTTGCCAAGTAGATGAGAGAGAGAAAAAAAGAGAGGTAGAGAGACACGGAAGACAAGAAGGTTCATTGTCTATTGATTTTTTTCTAGGAGCTCAAATTAGTCTTGACCTGTCAGAACTCATCAGGGCACCCACACACATTATCTGAGAGCGAACCCTGTTTTGTTCACGTTTCATTAGTCATAATATGTCCAACCTCTTTGCTTGTTCTCCATTATCATACAATAAAAGCTCTGTAAAGGTATCAAACCCATATTCCACTGTTCACCTTGGTCATTCAGCATGTCTGTGCAGAGTTTTATCTGTGTGGCCCAACTCCACGAGCACAACTCACCCCTGTAAGGTTACTTATGACGTACAGGATGGTGTCTGGTGGTTCAAACAGGGGGCCAGCTAACGCACTTCCCCACTGCTAACGTCATGCACCACAGGTGTTTAAACATGAGTAGAGTTAGTCAGAGTTTTTCATCAAAGCTAATCTTACAACAATAATACAATAGCCGCAGGTAAAATCAGTTACACTGTTTCAAATCAAGACCATTGTTGGAACCCCAGAGTTCAGTCGTCATCATGCTTGTAGATATTAATGGCCTACGTATCTGACTGTAATATCAGCAGGACAAAAACTGAAATCCAGTAATATTCCTGCTATGGCTGACACCTCAATTCAGAATACTAGGAAATTATGAAATTATGATAAAGTTTCACACTTAGTGAAACATTTATGCTAATGTATTAGTTTGACTAGCTTCTTCAGGAATTTTCTTTTTGTTTAGAATATCAAGACGAACTCCGGATTGGTTTGAGTCATCACACTTACTGTTTAAATGCAGCAGCAATACCTCACCAGGTGTGACTTAAACTGGCAAAAACATTATCAAGTTACATTGTCCAGAGATTGTCAGAATGTCCACAGGGATGAAAGCATTTCTCATTTACCAGATAGATGCAGAAGTTGGTTGATTATAGCTTTCAGTGCTTAAGCAACCACAGTAAATCTACCAGAAATTGCACATCAATACTGGTTTAATTTTGATAATTCTATAGCAGTAGTGCTGTGGCTATATGCTGTTTTTTGATCTCTGTATTTGTAATGTAATAAGTCAAAGTTTATTTTTATATTGTTTTTACAACAGGCATTGTCACAGAGCAGATTTACTGAAAAGCCTTCATGTTCTGTGTCAGGTAGCATGTATTACACATACTGCTTTGCATGTTTGCAAAGAAGGCAGTAACTGTGTACTATTCAAAAAGTAACTGTATACTCATTCAAAAAGGCCTAAGCCTAGGCAATGCATTACTGTACACACTAAAAGACTGACTGGACACACTTTTGTACACACCTGTGGCCATAAGGCCTAAAAGCAGTTAACGTTACAAATTGCTGATGACAAGGATGCGATCTGAGCTAATTATAGTCAAACCAGAATGCACAACTGACAAAGATGTGATATGCAGTCTGCAACCAGATTTTTGAGTAATCAAACTGTTAGGAGTTCACCATGCCAAATCTTTTGCTTTACTTGAAGCACTGCACAGATCAAATGCGTACAGTAAGCAAATGTCCTTTATACCACGTACATCTCAGATTTTGCCCCAGTCTACTCCTATGGACAATAGATGTATTCATTCTATGACATTTAGGGGCTTTCTGGTTATTTCAGAAGTCTACCCTCTGCCAGCTGCATTGACACAGCAATACGCAGCCCATTTTTCCTTCAGAGCCAGAACAATGGGTCTGAAGCAACACCAGTTTTTCTTTCACACACACACTCCTCCTTTGAAAACCCTTTTTTTAATACGGGGTGGGACACTGACCCAGCGCACGGTGCAAGTCTGTACGGTGAAGTGTTTATAGTCCCTGGCACTGGAGCGTTGGAGGTGGTTTTGGCGCTTTTGCCTGCCGAGCTGAGCGTTATTGTCATGTCACATGTGAGGGTAATGGAAAATAGCAAGTCTCATGCCAAAAGCGACAGTCAGCAGAACCCAATACTGCATGGCACACATCCCCTCACTCCCTTCTTACCCATCACCCCTCCCCCTCCTTCCCTACAGGGGCAAACGCAGGGCATACAACACCCAGACTGCCTCAAAGCCCCCAGGAGGCCTGCTGCGGGTATTTTCAGCTCACTGGGTCACAAACCCAGTTCCAAAAGCAGAAAAAAAAACCTGGAGTACTCATAAAATCCACTGCCAATGGTGGAAACATAGAGTAATTATTCTAAACTGTACCCTAGTCTTATATATTTCAGGGTGTCTAGTGGCCAGTCAAGCATGCTGTGATTTGTCATATTAAGTTTATACAAGAAAGAATTTGACTTGGTATCACAACTGAATGGAAATTCACATGAGATCATCCGTAACCATAGTAAAGCTGAGGCCCATAGTTTTTCCCCCAGACTGAACGGTATTTACACCTCTAATGGGAATGCAAAATGATAATGAGAATGTGTTCCCCAGTTAATGATGCACTTAAAAATGTATTCTCCATTTGCTTTCATTTGTGTGCACATTCAGCTACTAACCACCTTTCCAAAATATGTTCCAAACTTCACTCTTCAATCTCCTGAAGTTTCCTCATTAATCCCAAATGTGAGAATCACTGCTAAGATATATTCACTTATTTATAGTTTACACATAATGTATCACTCAGTGATGCATATGCAGTTAATAAGGTAAGCTTTCAAAGAAGGGTGAAAACATTTATACTGGTATTTTGGTGATTATATCTCCAAGGAGTCTTACAGACAGTGCTTTGTATCTTTACTAAATGGCATTATCTTCTCTGCAGCGGACGTGGCCCGTTGTTTGAATAGCGCCCTCCAAGTGGGCTGTGGTGCCTTCGCTTGTCTTGAAAACTCTACATGTGACACAGATGGAATGCATGACATCTGCAAGTCCTTTCTCTACAGCGCTGCTAAATTTGATACTCAGGTAAGTAGAGGAATTGATAAAGACAGTGTTCATATCCTAAAGAAATTAAATAAAAGCTAACAAGCATGATTGCAAGTCATCACCTTGATATGCACATTCTTTTTCTTACACACTTAAAAATGATGGTCCTTAAAGGGTTCCTTAGTAAAGAAAATGGTTTTATGTAGAGCCATGAACACTCAAAGAACCGTTTACATGATTTAAGCGTTCACCGCATCGTGAAGGAGTTCTTTACATCGATGGAGAATGTGCTGTAGATGGTTCTACATAGAACCTTTTTGAAAAGGGTTCTTCTATTGTAACAAGTCTGACAACAAAAGAACCCCTTTTGGAGCTTTATAGAACCCTTTTCATCTACAGCACATTCTCCATCAATCTGAAGAACCCTTTCATGATGCAGAGAAAGCTTTAATCATAGAAAGGGTTCTTTGAATGTTCATGGTTCTATATAGACCCTTCAAGAACAGAGTTTCCACTGCTCTTCCTTGTGATTCTTACAGCTTGTTTTATACCAGTTTTCCACATGTTGGCTCTACAACAGACTCAACATTGTCCTTATCAGGTGGGCCAAGGGCTAATGACTGACTGATATTGTCTTATATAGCCTATGATCCATTAGTTCACATTTTCTTTAGTAGCCTGCCATGAGTATTTGCCAGGGGTTTTCAAAATTGTTGAAACAGGCTTTTTGTTCACCTGACACTGAGAAAAGCTTACAGTGCAAAATAAAACCTCCATTGTGACAGATGTAATGTCATATTAATTACTTGGCACTGTCAACAATCGGTGAAGTCTATCTGGAATTTGTTGTTGTTTTAAAACAAGACTTAAGATCCTTCCTGAAACCCTTTGTCTTAAAGTTTTAACACACAAGAATGTTTCTTGGTACATGTAATTATGTGTTGTGTCAAAGTTCAGGTTACTGATAACTAGGTTACTAGTGTTTTCATTGTGATGAAGAATAGCTTTGCTTTCTGCTTACCCTTCAAGAGCACAAGTCAGCATATTGACTGATGTTTATTAGTTTTCCAGAAAATATAGCTCATTACCAAAGTAGCAACAATAAACTAGTGACTTGTTCAGAGGACTAGACAACAGTATGACTGGTTCTCTTGGAGTTGGTTTCTTCTCCTTCTTTGAAGGCTTACCAAATTTTGGAGCAAGGCTTAACAAATTTTGGAACGAGGGATTCTTTCTGTTCAGCTTCCGTTCTGTTATAGACCTTTAGAGAGATTTTTCTTCACTGGAACTAAGGTGCCCAAACAATTAAAACAGCCCCAGATCATTATTCCTGCTCCATCAAACTCTGCAGTTGCAACTGTTATTTGGGCAGGCAGCATTCTGCTGACATCCCCTAAGTCCAGATGAGCTGTCAGGCAGGTGGCGTCTTACGACAGTGCCATGTTGAAAGTCACTGAGCCCTTCAGTATGACCCACTGCCACTGTTTGTCTAAGTTTGCATGGCTGTGTTTTTAGATTTTAGATTAGATTTTATCTTTAGATTAGATTTTATACACCTGTTGGCAACAGCTCTGGCTGAATTAGTCAAACCCACTAATTAGAAGGGGTGCCTACAGACTTTTGTGGACCACTGTTATCACTGTTATATAGTTGGTTGGCATCTTCTACAAGGCTTACGTCTAAAACTGCTGAAAGTGCACGGATAATGGCAAACACACATATATATATATATGTTTAAAGTTCTAAAGAATTCAAACTGTTAAAATCATCCATGCTCTTCTATACAATTTTTCAGGGCAAGGCCTTTGTGAAGGAGAGCCTGAAGTGCATCGCCAATGGCATCACCTCCAAGGTCTTTCTTACAGTCCGCCGCTGTTCCACCTTCCAGAGGATGATCTCAGAAGTTCAGGAAGAGTGCTACAGCAAGCTGGACATCTGCACTGTGGCCAAGTCGAACCCAGAGGCCATTGCAGAAGTGGCTCAACTGCCCAGCCACTTCCCCAACAGGTAAGACTTATCAGTACCTTTAGAATTGGTTCTTGGATCATGAGGAGGAAACTGTAAAAGTTTTTTTATGTACAGCTTAAGAATGGTCTGGGACTAAAACTGAATGTTCTCCATTATATATTCTGAAGTCCAGGGAGAGTCATTATCTAAGTAGAAAAACATGCCCAAGAGTTAATATCATGTAATGTCTTATCATGTTACAACACTGAGTAACTGACCCGTTAAACAAATGGAGGGGTCATTATCTCAGTGAAATAGGTCAAGCATTTTCCATAATAACTTGCTGTTATTTAATAACAGATTATACCTGAGCTAGACTAACTATGAAGTAAGTCGAGGTGGTAACTAAATGAAGTCTTCTAATGTGACGGCATCCCTAAATAATCTCATGACTTCAAAGTCATAAGAAATCAGACTAGCTCGCATAAATAAGAAGCATTTAGTTTTTATGGTAATGGACAGGTTTAGTGTAGCTTCTTTCATACAATATCAAATGAAATTACTGTTGCTTCCTGTTTGCTACGCAAGTAAGACTCAGATGAAGCAAATATTAAGCTCTATTTTTGTGTGTTCTGAGCTTAGTAGATGTCAAACTGTGTGTCACCAACAGGCAATGAGAGGAACTCAATTTCCGTTTAGCTTTCATGTGCTTTTCCATTGCTCTCCTGGCATTGCATGTGCCTGCGTAATGTTGTTAAACATGCAAATTTGTTGTGGCACTTGCTCAGTGGGAGCGTTCTTTGTCTCTCGGCAGGTTTTATGGGAAGCTGCTGCAGAGTTTGATGGAGTGTGACGAAGAAACAGTAGACCTGGTGAGGGCGAATCTGTTGACCCGGTTAGGGCCTGAGATTGCCATGCTCTTCCAGCTACTGCAGAACAAGCCTTGCCCATCTGCCGTAGTACCCACTGGGACGGAGACTCGTGGAGGTTGGCGGTGGTCTGTCAGCCCCAGTACACACAAAAACCCACCTAATCTACGCAACAGGGATGCAGCGAATCTCTTCAGCAAGAAACGCAACACTGGTGACAGCTCTTAACATCAGCCCATCTCCTGGTCCAAACTTAGTTATCGTGCACACATACCCTATTGCAAAATGAAATCACAAAAGAAACATAATAGTGGTTCATTTCCCATCAAAATGCAGGAATACATTCGTTTTCTGAAACTGGAAAAAGGCATGCACCTATATAAAAACAGCTTGAATGTCAAAACTTTGTTTATCAGTTAAAATATTTCATTAATGTTGACACAAATAACTAAAATTCAAAGGAGAATTCTGGCTACTTTATCAACCAAGCTTTTCATGTTCAGAGATTGATCCATGCACAGGTAAAGTCTCGTTTACAAAGTCAATGTAGATACCGTCAACCATGAGGATTAACCTTACATCCAGGCCATTGTGTAGAGACTTCTTAGATAGATTATAAATATATTATTTTCAAGAAAGTATCTAAAGGGGAAAAAACAAAAGTAATACGATAATTATAGATAACCATTTCTAATCAACATATCTTAATGAGATTACAACGAAGAAAATGTGTGTATATATACTGGATCTATTGTTAATGTGAAATAGTTGGCATGTGCTATAAATATGAGAGTGTACTATTTATTTATTAACAGATATTTTACTATTTTTAGCTGTTAATCTTAAATTGCCACTAGCCTTTTTGTGAAAGCTCACCTACTAGGTGATATATATATATATAAAATATATATATAAAAAAAATCTTTGTGCAGGAATTCATAAAAAGACCAAAAACTGAAGTTCACTCCAGATGCCATATCTCATAGACCCTGAGTGCAGTAACACTAGGTGTCGATGAGCCATACTTAACTAAAGGTCAATATTTACACAATAAAGTAGAGATGTGAAGGAAGGGACCATTTAACTTTAAAACATCTCTTATTTTTCTAAGAAAAAAACACTAAGTAACATAAGTGGTTTAAAGGAATTTTATTGGAACTTTTCTTTACTCCTCTGAAATATTCTCTTCCTCTGCAACTCTTGCTACAATACGGCAGAAAACCTGTTCAGGAAGTTTATCACTAACCCTTTAGTGCAATGTTAGTGTCACATCACATTTCAGAAAACTTATTGGACAGATGAACAACTTGCTCCCTGGTGAATATGACATACAGAGGTGGGTTGAAGCACAGTTTAAACAGTGCTGCAAAGCAAAACGATGTCTATTTAAGAAAAAAAAGCCTTTTGATTTATTCATATTTATTTTCCTACTATTTTATTTAAGTGTTTATTTTATTACATTTCTATGGATATTCTACATTGGTTCAGCTAGAGGTAGTTTACCGATATACATGTTCTTTGCTTTCTTTTTCTAAGTACAGTTACATTGCTGAGTGCCCATTTTTGGGGGCTATCTTAGATTTCTGGGACCTTTCACTCTATTCTTTGTTGAGTTAACTGTATAAGACCCATGTAATGACTCTGTGCTGGTCATGGGGGAACACGTTGGTCATTTGAGTCAGGTCACCTTCTCTGCAAGTGTTGTATGGGACCACTAAAAAGACTAAAACAAAAAAAGTGTTGAGAGCATTGCCATTTACTGTGCATTTGTGCAGGGTCAACAATAGACTGTTGTTTAGAGTATATTATCAGCTTTAAAAATTCTGCCTGTATTAGGGGAAATTGACATCCAGTATTGCTAACCAGTTACTTCATAAGTAATAGGTGGGTGATGCAATTCAGCCATTCTATAGGAAACCTACACTTAATATAAACAGTTGGAACAGTCACTGCAAAGTGTTTTCTGGAGCCATTCTTGACACTATGCAATATACAATGTTTATGAAAGGCCTGTTTCTCTCAGAGTGTTTACCAGTGGTGGAAGAGTAGATATCTCGTTTGAAGTGCTTCATGAGGAAGTGCAGATAAATTAAGACTGGAGGGCAATGTGATGCAAAGCCTATGTTTAGCTGAAGATGACTTTAGACTGAGGGCCAAATCCAATAAAACTGCCACAAACCACTATGGCTATTTTTATTCAATAAAACTTAATTGCACAGAGACCATTCCACTACAGACTAAACTACTGTAAGTAAATGTAGGTCCATTCGTTCATATGTCAAATATTGTTTTTGAAAAGATAAGCCTAGCCATTAAAATAAACTTATATCAGTGCCAATGTGGCTATGTACTGATAGCAGTTTGGAATTAGACCCAAAGATACATAAAATGAAGGATCTAGGGGCAGAATGCAGTGTTAATTTTGCTACCCATTTATGATTTAATCTTAGCCTCTAGACTGAATACACTTTATTTCTAGTCAAATTTGAATTCTATCATGTCCAATAAAATATTGTACATTATATGATTCATATTTGACAGAGGTGTATTCAGTAGTCAAAACAAAAATGCCTAAAATCATGCATTTTAGTCATGTGTTTGTGTGTGTATATGTATTTGAGTGTGCACATTTTTTCTAGTTAAGTCTGCAGTGCATCTGGCTGGCCTCTTCATACACAGAATGCTGCCAGACTTTATGAGTCCATTTGGTTGTCAGTGCAGTGCAATGCTTTAGGTTTTTATAAGTTAAGGAGGTAGTTCGTTCATCTGCGTCAACTGGTCCTCTCACTATGTTGTGCAAGCAAATATTTTGTGGCGGGATCCTGCAATTACAACAAATATGAGGATAGCTGTAGAGGATTTCTTAAGCCTGCTTCTCTGGAACATCATTCTTTAAAAATCAGCTAGCCTAAACATCTGTGAGACCAGTACATAAAAACGAGTAAATCTGCCTTACATCCACTTACATAACTGTGGTATTTTATTTTTGTCATATTTTAGACATAGATGCTGAAAGAATTAGTTATCATTTTTGTCCTTTTGATTATGTTTTTGTCCTCATCATGTCGTTGACGAAGGTATTCGTCAACGAAATTAACACTGGCAGAATGACTGTTTTTCTTAAACCAAATGATGTGCAAATTTAAAACTAACTCACCAAACTATGCAATAATCCCTAATAAAGGTTTCAGTCTAAAATACACTTTATAACGCCCTAGCTGAACACAAGGGCCAGCTGAGACTTTTAGACAAAAGTAGTATCCCCCCTCCTCCTCCCCTCCCAATATGAAAGGCAAAGTTAATTCCCTGCCTCCAGTATTTTTTCACTTTAACAGAATGACTGTCTTTCCTTGTTTCTTACCTTAGGGGTTTGGGAAGCTAAGTCGTTAATTCAAATCTTGGTGTATGGGTATGTGGTTGGAGACACAATAAGGTTTCTGTCTTTATATGCACTTTCCATCTCTTAGGACCACTATAAAAGGGCATTGAAACAATTAGAACTCTTTTACGCAGGTTCAGCTCAAAGTTTCAACACAACATTGAGCTAGTGGAATAGAGAGACCATTATAGCTGTTGTATACTTGAGTAGGCAGGGATATAGTGTAAGTTAAGTGTTTTTGAGAGCAAGGTCTCTCTACTACTTGCATTGTTGTTTTAAGATTAAGAGTGATCTCTGTCTATCAAACACCAAGGATCTTGCTGTACCAAACAGTTGCTGCTAAACCTATTTCTAACCCCACTGTGTTAAGTTTCAACAATCTTTTCCAGAAGATGGTACCATTAGGTTTTTTTTCCAGTTGTGCTCACCTTGAGAGAATGGTATTAGAGTTAAGAAAGCATTCTAAAGGTAAAAATTACAATGTTTTAAATATAACATCTGATCTTTCTAATACCGATGGTGCCATCTTTCAGCCACATTCATGGAGATATCTCTGCACCAGGGGCGGCCAACCCATCTCCAAGACAACTGCAGTGAAATGCTACATTTTGCCTCAGCTCTTAGAGATGAAATATGGCAAAACTGGAGCAGAGTTATGCAAAACCCTGACGAGTTATAGCTCTTAGGAGAATGTTTTGGCCATCCCTATTCCCATCATTGGTGTATTTAATTTCGTTAGAGGACAACCCTGACTGTATCAAGGGATATTGTGCACTTACATGTATGATCTTTTGTTGGGTTACTGCATTGCGTTTGTTGATTTTTGTGGATGTAACTGTGTTCCTTTCTGTTCAAAGCCTATATTACTACTTACTAAGTTGTATGTTAATTCAGTTAAAAAAATCAAATTGTAATGGAGTTTGTAAACTTTAGAGAATGTATATTTTATCAAAAGTCTGTATTAGTGTGAAAGGCTGCCTGAGGCCCTGAAAGTTTATCACAGCCCTCTGGTTGAATAGCATTGTGCCCTTATCTGAAATTATGGTGGAAAAGCAAAGACTGACCCTCCTTCTTGTCAAATTTAACCTTCATATAAGTACTGTCTCAAATACAGTTTCAAAATGAGTTGCAGAATAAGATAAGCCCAATACACAGTGATTTCCAAATAACTATTCTAATCTAAAATCACCATTTGTGGTATTTGAAAGCTACAATATGATGAATACAGCTCAATAACATTTCATAATAAAATGTTTTGCAGGTTAGTTTGAATGTGATTCTTAAAATCAACTATAACTAGAAAGAAGGTGCACTACAGCAGAGCTCTTTGGCTTCTTTGTTGTCAGTAATTCACTAAGAGCTGGTGTCATTTCCTCTATAATCCAGGGCACTGAAGACAGAAAGACTAGGCTTAATCAGCCATTAAACTGAATGGTACTTTCTCAAAACTTGAAATCACTTATATCTCTTAAGTTCTTGTTATATTCATTGAGTTTTCCATTTGAATACACCTGTCATACCAATTGTTTTCCTTTCCCCTTTGTTTGTTATTGTCATTTAGTTTGCCCGGTAGCTAACAAGATGAAACCAAACTAGGCAGGTAAATTTGTTTTTGCAAGGCATTCAATGGATTCTTTGTTCTGACGTTCCTAATGTTACGCATGAACTTTGTGATTGATTTGCACTTTATTATATACCCATATACATATATACATCCTTGTATATGTGTAGGGTTTCTCTGTGCTTACAGGTAAAGAAAGATACACATGCATCAACTATGTGTCTTTTACTGTGTAGAAATAAACTATGATCATATCAGGCATATTGTATCAATTTTGTGTTATGTAAATTTGTCATGTCATGCTTTTAGTCCAGGCTAAAGGAAGGATAAACGAATGACTCTTGGACATTGTTTAACTTTACTTTCTTTATTTCACAATTTAAACCTTGCAACATTCATTTTCAGCATTTTTTTTTTAGCGGTACAATTTTGTGTAGCATGTTGGGTTATTTTTGGGATAAACTATAATTTTTTAAGTAATTGTATAATGCTCAACTAACTTATTTTTCAAATAATAATGAATTAAAAGCAATACATACATACTAAAGAACCACTGTTAAAACAACCATCTATTTTTATTTATCAAAACACTGTACATTGTATCTCCCAGTCACATACAAGCTGTGAAAAAAGGAATTTCAGAGCTGTCAGTATCAACAGCAAATCCAACCCTGTGTTCTCACAATCATAGTAATTATCACAATTTAACATTCACTCTTAAAATGTTGTAAATATCAACACAGGGAATAATTTGTGATCATACTTTTTATCACATGGACTTTCCCATTTCTTTTTTGACAGCAGTTTTTGGTATGGGGAGGGTGTTAGAGATATTTTGCAGACATCTAGTGCTTCTTTACATTCTTAGCAATAGGCATGTGCCATTTTAACAATTTTTTGTTCACTTTACTTACTAAATCTTTTGCCATGTTTTACAATATTATAAAATATTACATAAAAAAAACTATGTTTGAAGCTAAACAAACTATATTCTCAATGTCATTTTAAATAGCAGTAGTTTGTAGTTGTTTATACATATACAGTATGTACAAGTAAATAATTATTATTAGTAAAATCAATAAAAACTCCAAGTATAAATGCTTACTATTTGTATAGTTATCATATATGCCGATTTGCAGTCAAAACTGGAGCTGAGAACCCCTGCCCTGCACTGCGACCTTTTGTGCCTCCAACATAAAGAAGGAGATATATGAATAATTTCTTAAATATTTACATTTCTTAATCATATAAACATAAATGTGCATCTGCCATACATTTCATGTTATAAACGTGCTTAAAGTGAAAGTCTGTAGCGATAATGCTAATTTGTACTAGTGTCTTAATGGCTTTCCCCATATCAAACTGGGATCAAGCCAACGGTTTAGTACAGCTCCAGCTAGACACAGACATGAAGTAAGGAGTGGGTGATATGGCAAAAACATAAACTATGAATACAATTACTTTTATTTTGGGGCTGTCCTGAATGCCGTTTTGTGGGCCACATAGCTTCAGCAGTACGCAAAAGGTGAGATGGTATGTACTTTTAACTGCAATTAAAAAGTAGGGATGCATCGATACCAATTTTGGTCATTTAGTCGTATTTATACTCATAAAAATTCATGAGCACCAACATTCTGATACCATGTGACGTAAACTAAGTGTGGCTGCCGCCTTAATGAACAAATGCAGTGAAGCAGGCCCTGCTCACACAGAAGTGTTACTGACTCCATCACAGACACAAAAGCCGCTTTTCCACTGCATGGTACCGGCCCGACTCAACTCTACTTGCC